TCTTGCATAGCAGCTCTACCATAAAAAAAAGCAAAAAGACTTACTGGGTTGTTACTGGTCTTGCCTGCCAGAATGACTCTGGCTTTGACTTTGTTCATATTGAAATTTTTCAGGTAGGCCTCATAAATTTGCTTGGCAAGAGATTTAAGATCTGCCATTTCTGAATCTTCTACATAGTTTTCACCTGTTAGAATTTCAGCTTTCAATTTTGCCTTCTCGGACCTTGGCATTCGTCCAAAACGGATGGCTGATAGGAAAGATGCATATATCATGAATACAAAAACAACAATCGCTGCTATTTTTATTTCTTGGTTACAAAAGTAAGGCTGTCATCTAGAAAGAGTAAGCACTAGAAGTAGACCATAATCTATGTTATAGTAAAGCCATGAACAGACTAAAGCCAAAGAGCCATTATTTAATTATCAAGGTATAAAGTGTTATCAAAAGAATTTGTCAAGTGCCTGATCTTGTAGGTGTGTGTTAAACATACTCTGAGAACGCTTATTGAATTAGGCCCCTCAGGAAACCCTGGTTATGCTTATGCTCTGCAAGCTAGTATTGTGAGGAGCAAATACAGTAGACTTGCTCAGAGCACACCTCACACATTCCAACTGGATCAGAAGCCTCACAAAATGAAGATGAAATTATTTTAATTTAAAAATATGGTTGGAGAAGGATGCGATAGTGGACATATTCACCTTTTATGAATAATCTAGTGGTTTGAATACACATTCATGGAGCAGAAGCCCTAGACACCAAATCCCGGGGCATTCAAATATGACATCCCCCAGAAGAGCATCGCACCACTAGGCTGTAAGGAAGAACATGTTGGCACATGTACAGTGCTGCATTGACACAACCACACTACTTCTGGTTGGGAGCTAGCATGTAAGAAGTGGGCAAGGTGGGTCTCAGTATGGCACTGTCCTGTACCATGCAGGCATATGTCCATACACCGATTCACTTAGGTTTAGGATCCTTATGGGGCTCAAGCGGAAGCTAGCTGCTGAGCTACTCAGACTCAGGTAGTTCTGGGCAGGCACTGGAAGCAGAGCTAACGATACCTAGCAGATTTTCAAGTCAAACCAGAAGGCATGTAATGAGTGTCAGTGTCTCCAGGATTTGGTGGTTATACAGGTGGGTTTAGTTTTTTTGAATCAGTTTTATTCTTGGATAATTAAATGTGCCTAGAGTCCTGTTCTAAGTATTTAAGTCCTATTTTTGTATCTAAAACGTAGCTCACTGGACAAGTGGAAGAGACTCTGTAACAGCAAAAAAAAAAAAAAAAGAACTGGACACCTATAAACAAGAGAGTGAATACTTCAAGTAAAGCATGTTAGTAAATACACCATCATAAATTACAGTCAAGAAATGATGTATATCATTTATGGTACCGTTATCAAATTGTTGGATGCTTGAATTTACATACATACAAAATAAGCTCCAAAGTACAAAAAGATATTTAATACGCATAACAGAATATAAATAAAGTAGGAAGAAGTTTAAGTATTGTTGCTGATAGTGGCAAAGTAAATACCCGCATTTCAGATGCATGCTAAGTACTTAACTATAAATTTAATCCAACTTTGTGACAAAATAAAATTTAAATTTTAAAATGTTTACATAAGCAAACCGAGAATTAAGAGTGCTTTTCACTTAAATAAAGTCTACTTACTGATGACACTACTCATGAATACTGTAGAAAGGAAGTTGTTTTAGTGAACTTTCATTTGGTTGATCAAATTGAATTATATTTTAAAAGAGGAGTCTTGTAGAAACAAATACTTAATTCACCCTTAAGTATTTTTATTTCTTTTTTCCAATCAACTGCACTCACATGCCTCTTTTGGATTTTTTATTTTTTTAAAATAGGAAGCCTATTTTTTAAATAATTTTGGCAGAAAATATCCTTTACTTTTGTCCAAATACTGTACACTCAAAATATGATCATTAAAGTAAAAAAAGGGGGGAACCCCTAAAATGAGGTTCTGATCCTACATCAGGGATGCAATTCTGCATCCATGCAATTCTTAGTGTAGGATCAGAGCTTATTGTAAATACACTACAAAATCTTGAGGTCTTACTCTATATATGATCAGTCAGTGTAAGCATAGAATTACACACTAGTAAGTTACTCAACATGTCTGCTTTCAGAATTGAGCTCTTCGTTGTGAACTAGCAAACAAATTAAGGGCACTCTTACCTACCATTATGTGACATTCCAACTGAAAGGCACTTCTGAAAACGACAGTATTGGCACTTATTACGATTTTTTTTCTGAATTTTGCAGCTGCGATCACATTGATCATAGGTGAGTTTCAGTCGAATTGTTCTCCTAAAAAAACCCTATTAAAAAGTTTGAGAGAACATTATATATTGTGAAAGAACTTGAGGTAAGAAGTCCAATAAATTTTATCCATACAGCTCTGTTTCTCTTTTCTATTATTCATAATAGTCACTGATAACATCAGATTAACAATCTGCATAAAAAGATATTTTTATAGTAAAGACTGAACTATTAAAAAGACAGTAGTTTTCTTCTTTGTTAAATGCAGTAATATACGACTACAACCAGATTTATAGCTGATGTAGATAGAATGTGGTTCTACGTCTACTCCCTGCTTCCCAATCTTTTGTTGGTTAAAGGTCAAAAGGACCTTCAATGTAATATTAAAGCAGTCTTTAAGGATCAAGAACTCCCATGCACTCTACCCTGCATTGTTTTACACAGTCATGTGCTGTTCCAGGTTTCTCTGTCAGGATGATACCCATCTACCATGTGTGCACACACCCCCCCCCCCCCCCC